TTAAGATATAAGAATGTAATCATGTTAAAATAGATCGATCTTGGCAAGTGTTTAGTTAAACCTATACTGATGGCGGGGTGGCCGAATGGGCTAACGCGTGTGAACTGCACCGCCGTTGCCCGGCAACCGGATATATGATTCTATGATATGAAAATAGTCACGAGTTCGCGTCCCGGTCCCAGAGGGGATTTTAAATTCCCCGCCCTCACCCTCTGGTCCGGGAAAATCTCGTATAGCCTAAAAGGCGAGGTAGGGAAGAACAGGAAAAAAAAAGAAAAAAGAGGTTATACCTCTATACCTCATAAGTAAATTTAAAATTTTATTAAATCTATTAAAAAAAAAACACAATTACAATTAGTGCTGAAGCTCTCACTCAATCTCCAGTGTCTTTTGGTACCAGCGACTGGGTTAAATGATTAGCACTTGGTTCTCCTGAGTCCTGCTTTTCCCTCAACGGGTACAGATTAATTGTATATTATATATTATTTTATTCATTTTATTTTTATTTTATCTATTATATATATATATTATTTTCTTACTATAACTGTTGTCCTTTATTGTGATAGAATGTTATAAAACTCTACTAAACAGTTTTAAGACAATACTGATGTAATATATTTTTTCGTGAAAATCCAAAACCTTTCAGTTAGCAAAACAATTTTTTTTTATGTGTGTGTGATTATCCAAGTCATCACAGAACGGAAAGTTCTAGGTTATTTATTACCTTCTGCGAGTTACAATGTAATATAATGTACATGATGTAGAGTATGTTATTGTTATATCCTGGAATATATATATCAAAGTCCAATCTCACCACTAATAATCAGTGATGCTATGTCGGAGACGATAGAGGACAGTGTGAGCAAACATTGTTAGTGGCCTAATGGGATTAGTACAGGACCTCTTGGGCTATATTGAATCCTGCCCAGGAGGTTTTGGGACCTTCGACTTGTTAGGTTCCTCATTGTAGATCAACTAGCCGAGCTTCATAAGTAACTTTATAGATAGTGAGAATTAAATTATAAGCCATATTTATCCGCAAACCGATTAACAAAAACAAAAAATAAGAAAAGTTCAATGCTGTATTTAAAATGATATTTCCAGAGCTAAAATAATATTTTTAAATATAATTCGATAAATCAGTTACCTGAAAGCAATAGAAAAGAAACTGTGTAGTTTTCTCTCATCAAGACTTGTAGTTTGTAATAGTTATTGTAGACTCAAGAATGATAATTTAAAGGAAGAAATCAACATTATTTTAGAAAATAAATATTACTACTTTTTCCAAAACTGGCCTGAAGCGCTATTTACTGCTATTTACTTTATTACATCAGTGATGTACCGTTTTGTTAACATATCACCATAAAACAATAACTGACTTTTCCAGGTAATGCTGTAAAGTCTGTGAAGGATGCTTACAATTTTTTGGACAAGTAAAGGTTGTTTTACCTTCTGCATAAATCATCAAAGTTTTGGAATTTTTATGTATCATCATTTCTGTATATACACATATATTTATATATGTTTATATGAGAGGGTGTATCGTCTTAAGTTTGCAAAGAAGCCCATGACGGCAGTATCTATCAAACATCTGGAAATATTTCGGTTAGATTTAGTTATTAAAGCGTTATAAATGAATATTCAAATCTTGTGAAGGAAACCCAAATCAATGACTGGGTATTACGTTATCATTCGTCAGTATACTAAGAATATTTTTAATAATAAACACTAGCAAATATACGTAATGATTAAAATTGACTAGTACTTACATGGTTTCACACTGAGACCAAAGCTTCTGATTAAATTCTTTTTAATGATGTTTTCTTTAATCATTCCGTGATGGATGATTCTGCAACACTACTTTTGGCTTTTCGGTTTCAGTTTTTTTTTTTTCAATCTTAGTATTTGTTTCAAACTCATTGGTGAATTTTTTTTTTATTGAGAAAAATACATTTTTCCTCAATCAAGACCATTGAGTATGGCGAAATATTAACGAATTAATTATGATTACATTTAACTGTTTAATTTAACTAATTACATGTTCTTAGTTTCATTTAGTACTAATAACTATTGCTGTTAAGTGTGGCATAATGTATTATTATTTAATTAATAAATATTTATTTTAACATATTAAGCCATTTGCACCTTAGCAATAGCAAATTTAATGAATTAGGTATTGATTGCGAGTTTGCTTGATTAACATAATTTTCTTATTGTTGTAGGAGTAGGTCCCTTAGCCATTTTCTTTTTAATCTGCGTCGATCTGGTAACAGGGAAAAAGAAAGAGGCAGAACAAGTGGGTTTGGATGATTGAGAGTAGAAGAATGAAATGAAGTGTATTTGTCGTGGATGTACAATTATAATAAATTTAGATTAAAAAAAATGATAGTAGTAATAACTGTATAAGTTTGAAAGAAAAATATTTACAAATCAGAAAAATTACTATAAATAAAATGCATATCTATAAAAGAGAAATATAAATGCCTTGAATGATTTTTCTTAATATTTTAAGTCTTTGAAAAATAATAAAAATAGGTAAATATACTGTTTTATGATCAAATATGGATTGATGAATACGTAATGGATTTTTGATATACATGTAAGGAATAAATAAATGCCATACGAAAAGATTCAAATTTATTTTACATAATTCAACAATAATGCTTTGGTGAAACAATCTTGAGAAACTCTTTTAGCAAAAAACGTACATATACATGGTGAAAAGAAACAAGCGATGCCTTATACCCTAAAAAATAGTTTATTACATAATATATGAAATTTATCTACTATTTTTATATTATATATTTGGAGGGTTTCACATGCCGGAAGGAGTTTCGAAAGGCTCACTGACTGAAAGATACACAATAATTGATTCGGACAATCTACAGTACAAAACTGCAGGTCCACAGTACCTACCGTATCAGGTCCCTGGTAAGCAATGATCATTTTTTTTTTAATATAAATTTACAGATTTCTAACCCATGTTACTCATGTACCTATAGAACTATATCCGCATCCAATGACGCTTATTGGTAACGTAATTTGGGCGAGAAATAATTTTCTGATTCGAAATTGTGCGACCATCATAACTCGATATTCTAACACCAATGCACTGGCGATGCATAGCACTGAGGCACAACAGCACAATTAGTAATAAAAATGTATGTAATTAATAAGTATTAAAATCATTTTGTTCATTTAAAAATTTATATTCTTTCTTAAAATTTTATACTTCTAAAACATTTTTTTTTATTTACAATATATAATAAATTATTTTATTTATACAATCGCTATATGTATTTTACAATAGTGCTCTGGCATGCGCCATCACCTCTGGTAACATTTCACAATGGACATTTTCTATAATTGAAAGATGATTTCCTAAGGATAGAAAGCATTAGATATTATTAATCACGTTGCATAGAATTATGCGTAAGAATTATTTGTGCCTCTTCGAAAAGCACGAAGTGTCACAAAGCCGAAAGCGACTTCTAATCCAAAACTAGGCTACACTAGAGATCAGGATTTTGAGGTGAATCCAAATAAAAAATTAAATAAATAAATAACATAGATTAGAAAGAATCGAAAGAAGTGATTTAAAAAATATATATACAAAAACACACATAAATACTTATTATCAATAACATGTAACATTATTTTTTTTTTATAAATGCCATAATCACATTGACTGAGCAGCTGAATACAGAATGAGCATCGATATTGCGGGGATGGGTAGTAGTGGTGGCTATACAATATACACTAACTAAACAGCAAGGCATTGTGCCTAGTCACAACCAATGTTTGTGGTTCAAATTCACAAATCTTGTTTTCGTTTTGTTCATATCAATTTTTAGTGGGGGAAGGAAGCTATATTAAAATGTATAAATAACATAATTATTTCTTTTATTCTAAACAAAAATTCATTTTTCCTCTTCAGTTACGGACATAAAAAAAATTATCTGGCAGTAATTATATGCCCTTCCAAAAGATGGAATAGATAAATTAATATGAAGCTTTTTCGTTCAGAACAATCGAAGGGCTAGCAAACGGTAGTAAATCTAACATAGCTTAAGGAGTAATGGTAAAAAAAATAAAATAAAATAAATAATTGAAACAATACCTATCAAAAACGAATTAAAAGAAAATAGCGTAATAAAATTATTACCAAAGTATATATTTGTGCATTATGTTAATGTGCTTTTTTCTGAAACATATTTTACAACGATGTACAAAACAAACAAATACACGGTGTTACTCTTAGAAAAAGTAACATTTTGAATAAAAATAACATACCTTTATATAAACATGGATATTTATTTTCTGAGAGGAAATATAACGTTTGTATCATTGTTCATTTACATATCATTGAGTTTATTAAATATATGTCTACAATAACCTAAACCAAAGTGCTAATGCTAGAAATAATAACAAAAGAAAATAATGTGAAAAAATTGTTTAAATTATCCGTTAAAATATAAAACTTGAAAATCAAGCAAGTTTTGTTCGAGAATTTAAAAAAAATAGAGTTCAATTTCAATATTTCAATTAAAATATTATAATTGTTCATACAAATATATTTAATTTATACCCAACATTAATTTTCTTTTATAAATTATTATCCTTAGATAAATTAAGTACGTCCTGATTTTTTTTTTGAAAGTTTAATAAAATCCACTATAAAATAAATAATATAAATCTATTATAGTCGTATAAGTATTGTAAATTCAAATTCTTAAAGATATTACTATAATGATTAATAACTGTAAAAAAAGTATTTTATATATACATATACATGATAAATAAATATAAAAATAGAAAACCCCATGATCCAATTAGTATTAAATAATTGAAAATAAATCATTAGGTTGATCATTTATGAAACGTTTTCATATCCATTAACATGGAAATTAGAATGAATTTCGACATTCCCTTCTGGTTTAACTTGATTTGATTATATCTCTAGAACAACCCTTCCCTCTCGCCCCGTTATCTGATATCAACCCCCGTATATCAGAAATAGCGAGGTAGGGGATAATCTAAAAAAAAAAAAAATTAAAATTATTACTCCGGAATAACAATTTGATGCCTTTTGTATTAAATTTTATTGATTTAGCTGAAGAGGAAATAATGAGTTATTATTTTTTTTTCAAATTATATAGTTTTGCTATAGCCTATGGTTCCTTCCCCCACCGTGAGTACCATCCGTTGCAGACCCAGAGACTGCTGGTCCTGTGCTATCCTGAAGATGGTGCCGCGTGTCCTCCAGGTGTCCCTCAGAGGCTGGGTAGCGATGGGGATCTGCTGGGTCCTCCAGGAGTTGTACCCGAGGCCCAGGACTGCCCGCTTCAGACCTCCGCTATCGGGCCTGGCGGGGTGATGATGGACGTGGTCATCATTACGTTCCTGCAACATCAATAAGCTATGTTGTAAAATCGAACAGTGTTGAACAAACTAATTTAATATAATGATTTATTATGCATTCTGTTTAAACATTAACAGTTTCAGGAGACTGGGTTGCATCCGAGGACACAGAAAGAGAGGCTGAGGTTGCACTGGCTGAAAGATGTGGAAGCGGACCTTAGGACGCTTGGAGTGAAGAATCGGAGGAGGATGGCTGAGGACAAGATGGAGTAAAGATGGATTGCGGAGGAAGCCAGGGTTATATGTCATCGGATATAGATAAACAGATAGTTTTTTGTTTGTTCTTTCTCTTTTAACATTACAGTTTCATGACACTGAGGTGCATCGGTTCTCCACTTATATATCTATACTGTACATTAGTATAGATCCTTTTTCCAAATTTCAGGAATGACTACGACTACAATTATAGTAAAAGTCATTGAAAAAAAATGAAAGGTTTCGAAACTCAGAGGGTTACAAAAGTCGACGGGTCGAGAAATTATTTTAATGATTTTGAAGTAGACATCAATTCTTGCTACAGCTCCATAAGAACTATCAAACTGTATGTTTTAGATCTCTAAAATGTTCCGTTTTCGAGAAAAATCGTAATTCTTCTCTTTTCTTCTTTTGTTGTTAGAAAGCTGTTTAAATTACTATGCCGTTGGTGATAAAAACCAATCTACAACAAATTGCGTATTTGCTATAATTTACTTTAAGTTAACGTTTCGGGTTACAATTCCCATCTTTAAAATTTTATTCCTACCTTTATTTCATTAATAGTAACTAGAAAAAAGGTGTATTAAAATTAATATATGTTACAATATCTGTCAATATTAATTTTGTTACAAATTTATAATATTTACCTGAATACCGCGTATGCTACTTTTCCAAAATTTAATATTTTTATTATATATAAAAGTAATATCTGGAGCAAAGATGCCTATTTAAATTTAAACTGCTATCTAAATTACTAAATATAACAGTAATTTTAATATTTTTTTCTTTTAATTATAAATCACAAAATATAGTTATAATACATGTATATGTAATAACTTTTTTTTTCTTTTTTTTATTATTTATTTATTCACCCATACCTGTCATAAGCAATGACAATTAGCGGGTCTGCTGAAATATAATTACTTAAAAAATGTATCGTTAATTAATTATAAATTTTAATTTTATACTTGTTCTTATGATATGCTAGAAATTTTATTTTTTATTTTATTTTGATCACCATCGATACTTTCTCACATTTTCCGATGAAAAAAATATGTAATTTTTTCGTTAATTTTAAAGATTATATTTACAACAACTGATGCATACCAAGTAATAAAGGTTCAACCAAATACTCTCAAATTCAATTTACCGTTTTGAAATTATAATGATATTTAAATAGAATTAGAGTTAGAGATTTAAAAAAAAAACATTTTATTACTAATAAACAGTAATCTCAGTGGAACAATGAAATAAAAGTTGTTTTTTTTTCTTGAGGCCGTCTTATACCCATTGACCACACCTTTTATTTAATTTTAAATTTTATTTCATTTAACGGTCTTGTGTTTGTTTATTTATTGAGGTTAGATTGAAAATAAAGGTTGGTTATATACAGTTAAAAGATTATTTCTTATCTAGGTATATATCATTAAAATTTTAAAACAATGAAAACGAAGATTTAATAATTAATGTCATTTTTTTTATTGTTTTGGTTTGAGGTATTTTTCGAAAAAAATAACTACAGAACCTTATTTTCTTTATGTTTAATACAATTCTTAAAACTATATTTGAGAGAATGTATAGTTATAGGAGCTATTATTACATACCTAGAAATTGCTCGAACATTTATACATACAAAAATAATTTAAAATATATTTTAACTACCTTGGGGCGGACCACGGTGGTTTAAATTAATATGAATTGATCTTTAACAATGACTGCTAAAAATTTGTAAGAAATCAATTTTCCGAAGGATATTAGAAGTTTTTGTAAAAATTTGATTTAAAAGCACCTATTTTTGTTTACAAAAACGAAAAAAGTCAAACAATTTTTCTAAATGATTATGTATTTTTTTAATTAAGCGGATTGACAGTAAAAAGTGGATATAGTTTCAAGAAAAAATTATCAACCATCAGCTCGAACCAAGCAATTTTACAAAACCAACAAATTAAGGAAAATTTCACAAATTAACTAGGTTTTCAATTGAATTATTTTCTAAAAACAGTATAAAATGTTCATTCTGTCTACTAAAATATTCCCCCAAACTGCCTAAGATATCAAGTTTATCTAGTTTTTGAGTTATAAAAAAAAAAAAAAATTTTTTAGCCGATGTCGCACGTTTTTCATTACTCGGCCCACTGTGCGGCGTCGCGTTATGATAATATTTTTAATATTAGCCCTCTGAAGAGGGGATGGAATGCTGAACAATTTTCTTGCTGACAGTATGCAGATCCGACTTTTAGTTTCTAAGATATTTCAATACATTCGCAAAAACACGTCAGTCGATTCCAGCCGACTTTACCCAAGCGTTACACAACGGAGACCTGATCGCTCAATCAAATTCCTTCCCCACAAAAAAGTGCAAAACGCTCATAAAGAATTTTTACTTCAAAAATTAAATTTTATAGAAAAGTGACGAATCTCAATAGCATAATAACAATTTGTATTACAAATCTAATAAGACTGATTAAAAAAATTAAGCGTTATCAATGCCCATATGTAGTAAGTTACTTTAACAACGATCGAGATAAAACAAATTGGGCTTAAAAGATATTCAGGCGGACGCATTTGGAACATTTCCAAGCAATGTACCGGACTCAGCGTTTTAGAACCCCAATATTTATCGTTTCAGAGATAACGCATAAGCTCAACCATATTCTAGCAATAGCATCCTGGGTGCAACGGTTGCCTTGGGAATTTTAAAATAAATCATCCTTTAGCTTTTTTAAAACTAAAATATTGCTTTATGTTAGTGTCTTTTATACAAATAAAATATTTATTAAGAAGTTAAACCAAGAAATACAGTCAGGAGATCCTTTGGGGTGCTTGGATAATAGAAAAATTCTTTAATGTTATTTTATGTATGGTGTAGAGGCGTAAAACCTCAAGGACATCAACGCCTATCCAATCTTTATTTTAAGAATCTGAACACTAAATCATCAATTTTAATTTTTTTTAATAAATCGTTAGATAAAAACTAGATAGAAACTTATAACCGATTTTATTCTGAGGTCGTCATTATTCAAAACCACTGATGATTTTGGTATGAGCACTGATTTGGTTAGAATCAATATGCAATAAAGACACACTTGGTGTTTCAATAAAATAATCTTTTTTTTTAAAATAACAGAGAATTTAATTATTACTTCAGTGATTCAATTCATGTAATACACTTCTATTCGAATAAAATACTTGGTGCACGGTACTCAGCTTATTACCGGTATATCTGTACTCACTATTAGAATTTGCCCATCTCCAGTTCGTGTTCCGGTCTCGAAGGAACTTTTAACTTTAGTATGAATCCCCCGCCCTCTCCCCTGTCCCGTAAAAAAGTAATGTAGCTGACAAGGCGAGGAAATGTACATAAAAAGATACTATCATTTTTTATTTTTTATTTTATTTATCAGTATTAAATCTTAATTTAATTTATTTTTTATGGTTTTCGATTATGAATATATAATAAAATTTTATTCTACTACTTTTATTGTATGGATGTTAACATAGAGTCATAATCCTCAATGCCATAGATTGTGGCAGTTTGTATTATTTTTCTTCAATAAAAATATAATAAATAAAATATTTTTATATCAATTTTATTTCAATTTCATCAATTCTACTTTTATAATGTCACATTTTTATTTTACCTATTGATCTATACTTTGATTATTTTGTACCCTCTCTATCTACCTATCGTAACATGTTACATATCACGTTTAAAATATTGTTATTATTAAGAATAAAGAAGGATTTTAAACTAATGGGCAATTATTTTTGCTCATTGATATTATCTTCGTTATTCTCACCCAATATGTTTTATTTTATTTCGTTTTATAAGTTATAAAAAAAAAACAAAAAAAAAACAGTCTACTAAATAGTCAAATAAATCCAAAAAAACAACCCATAATAAAATGGGCCAATTATCGGATAAATAATAAAGGTTTAGAGCATTTCATGGGGCTATAATTCAAGAACTAACGGCGCGCCGTGGGAGTACAGTTAATTCTGTTTATGGTGCCAATTAATTTCATTGCTTATACCATAGCCAGGTTATTATAATAAAGATATAATTTCAGATAATCCTCAGGTTTAGCATCCATTTATCCATTAAGACCTGTGTAAGCTTCACTAATTTCAAAGCTATAGAATTTACGGCCTGTAAGGAGACACCAAAATCTCCTCCACCACTGAAATTTATAAAGTAGGGTGTAAAGGTTCATTATGTACGCAAAAATAAATTAGCTGCTTCAACAAAGAACGGCTGTGTATAGCCAATAAATCAGGTATATTTGAACTTAGATCATATCACGGCGTAATGATTTGAAATTTCATAAAAGTTATAGGTATACATTAAATACAAATAAACTATTTTTTTACGGAATTAAAGAAAAATTGAAAAAAATTCTTTACAATATGAGAGTTCACCCTTCGGCGTAATACCTGCCCACCAGTTTATTTTAACTCCATCCAGCTTCCTTTCTCAGATACAGTCCGGTATCTTGGCTTTCTCTTAGACAGACGACTAACATGGAATCCACATACTCGACTTAAAAGACAGGAACTTAACAGACGATATGGCCAGCTATATAGACTACTGAATAGAAAATCTAAACTTTCTGGTGAAAACAAATTACTGATCTACAAGACAATACTGAAACCCATCTGGACTTACGGACTAGAACTATGGGGAACAGGCAAATTTTATAACATCAAACGCATTCAATCCTTTCAGTCTAAAGTCCTCCGTACAATAGTCAATGCTCCCTTCTATGTAACCAATAAAACCCTACACC